TGAATGAGATCTTCCACAATCTCATTGTCGGTGGCAAGATCCTCGTATACCTGGACGACATACTCATCTTCTCTACCAATAAGGAGGAGCATGAGAGGGTCACACGCGAGGTTCTACGTCGCCTTCAGGACAACGATCTATTCCTGAAGCCTGAGAAGTGCGAATGGGATGTTCCCAAGGTCGACTACATCGGCTATGTGTTCAGTGGCGATGAGGTGGTGATGGATCCCGCAAAGCTGAAAGGAATCAATGAGTGGCCGGTACCCCGGAACAAAAAAGATGTCCAGAAGTTCCAGGGGTTCTCCAACTTCTACCGCCGCTTCATCAAAGACTTCGCTAAGATCTCGCGACCACTCGACCGGCTCACAGGGAATGACCCATGGCATTGGGGCGAGGAAGAGCAGCACGCCTTCGACGAGCTCAAGCGGCTCTTCGCGACAACTCCAGTCTTGGCGCTGTACGACCCTAATCGGGAGACGCGCATTGAGGTTGACGCCTCGGGGTACGCCACTGGCGGCGTGTTGATGCAGAAGCAGGATGACGGCAAATGGCATCCCATTGCCTTCAGATCACATGCGATGGATCCGGCGCAGCGGAACTACGAGATCTACGATAAGGAGATGCTCGTGATCATCGAGGCACTAGACGATTGGCGCCACTATCTCGAGGGGTTGCCTAATCAGTTCGAAATCGTAACCGATCACAAGAACCTCGAATACTGGCGCACGTCCCAGCATCTCACGCGTCGTCAAGCGCGGTGGTCACTGTTCCTAGCTCGCTTCGACTTCCGCATCACGCACAAGGCCGGGACGTCCAATGGAAAGGCTGATGCCCTGTCGCGTCGATCAGACCATCAGATCGGCGACGAGGACGATAACACCGATCAGGTGGTTCTCAAACCAGAGCGCTTCCGCATCGCCTCCACTAGGCGCGGTCACGCCTCGGTGACGGCCGATCAGTCACTTCTGAAACGCATTCGGGAATGTTCGGAGAAGGATCGGGAGGTGGCCGAGGCACTTGAAAAGGTGCAGGACCTCGGGCCACCCCGGCTGCAAAGGGGTCTTGAGGAGTGGAACGCCGAGCAAGGACTTCTGCTGTTCCGCGGGTGCGTGTACGTCCCAAAGAATGCGGAGCTCAGGCGGGATATCGTTAAGATCCACCACGACTCGCCGATCGCCGGCCATGGCGGTCGTGCCAAAACCCTTGAGCTCGTGTCGCGGAACTACTGGTGGCCTGGGATGTCCAAATTCGTCAATGAGTACGTAAGCACCTGCGATGTGTGCAACCGTACCAAGACATTCCCAGCCAAGCCCCAGGGCCCGCTGAAGCCGAATGAGATCCCCGAGCGCCCGTGGCAGATCATCACGACCGATATGATCGTCGGCCTGCCGAAGTCTGATGGATTCGACTCGATCCTGGTCACCGCTGACCGCTTTACCAAGCAGGTCCACTTCTCGGCCTGTCATGAGACCCTGACGGCAGAAGGTGCGGCAAACCTGTACATCCGCGATGTGTTCAAGCATCATGGGGCCCCGGCCAAGGTCATATCAGACCGAGGTCCCCAGTTCGCTTCGAAGTATCTCCATGCGGTGTACAAGGGACTAGGGATCGAGCCGGCGCTGTCCACAGCGTTCCACCCTCAGACAGACGGCCAGACTGAGCGCTGGAATCAGGAAATCGAGCAGTACCTGCGTGCTTTCACAAGCCACAGGCAGGATGATTGGGCGAAGCAATTGCCGCTCGCGGAATTCGCATTGAACAACCGAGTTCACTCCGCGACCGGGCACTCCCCTTTCTTCCTGCATCAAGGGTACAATCCTGAGATCCAGGTTCGGATCAATCCGATGTCTGCGATGCCTGCGGCCGCTGATCGGCTCAAGATCCTGAAAGAGATTCGCGACGATACGCGCTCTGCGCTTGAGCTATCAGCCGAGCGTATGAAGGTGTACTACGATAAGCATGTGCAAGAGGCACCGGTCTTTGCGCCGGGGGACAAGGTCTGGCTTGACGCTCGGAACCTTAAGCTGAAACAGCCGAGCAAGAAGCTCAGTCCCAAGCGCCTCGGACCTTATGCCGTGCGGCGAAAGCTCGGAGATTTGGATTATGAATTAATCCTGCCAAAATCGGTACCGGTGCACCCGGTATTCCATGTCTCCTTGCTTAGCAAGTACACGCGTAGCGATATCCCGGGCCGGGAGCCGGAGGAACCGCCTGCGATCGAGGTTGAGGGCGACGAGGAGTACGAGGTTGAGCGGATCAAAGATTCGCGGATCTTCCGGCGTCAGCTGCAGTACCTCGTCAAGTGGAAGGGTTATGACGATTCGCATACATCATGGGAACCGGCGCGCAACGTTGCCAATGCGCCGGCCCTCATAGCCGACTTCCACCGGAAGAACCCGAATGCCCCTCGTCGACTCAACGCTGCTACCTTTGGTGGTCTCAACTTTCAGCCAATGCCTTCGCCGCTGACTGAAGCACGCTGCCGCTCCGGATGGGAGATGGGCAAGGGCGCCTCGCATGAGGTCATGCGCCGTTGAGGGGGGGGTAATGTCACGAGTTGGTACGGCGTCTAGCCGTTTTTTAATTTTTTCCTTTTCGCGGGCTCGAACCCGCGACCTCTGTACTACTTGCCCGATACGGACACATCGTTATCTACTGTACGATCAGATTAGATAGGACGGCAGTGCACGGCACAGCTCGGGCCCCGCTGACGCAGCTGCGCTGACTCACCGGCCCCCGGGGCCGCGTCGGCATGCTGCGCACAGACCAGCTGCGCACGGACCAACGCGCACAGCCTGCCCTAATCTCCCCATGTATATAAGCCGGCCTCTGCTGCCCTAGGGACCTCAGTTTCGACCTCTTGTCCCTAGGTCAGTAAGCTCCTGTATTCTCTTACTTACCTTACACTAACTAATACACTTACTTGTCCCTAGCCTTAGGTTTGAGCTTCGCTCACCATCGCTTCGGTGAGAACCAGTCGGACGCCCCTTGCTTTTAGATATTCCCCTGTCGCTTGACCTCAAGTCGCGACA